CTCTCTCTCACGGCATCTCTGTCAAATAAATAAAATCTTAAAAAAAAAAAAAAAGGAAAAGAAATATAAAAGTATCTGCCATAGAAAGGTGGCCAATGGCCAAAAAAACGTGTGTGTGTGTGTGTGTGTGTGTGTGTATACAAAATGTATCTGGCTCCTAACTGGAAAACATTTATTGTATTTTTAGGAGTTGCCTTCTAGCAGCTGAGGCAAGATAAACATCCTCCCAAGTATCACCACCAAACTGAGAAAATGTGTACAAATTTAAAATTCCCAGAAACAAACCTCTATCTGAATTGTGCCAACAATAAGAATCCCATTCCCCTGGGACCTGAGAAACTTCCCTTTATTTTTCAATTTATAGAACTTATTACTGCAGAAATCACCTATTTTCCTTCAAAATAAGTTAAACCCAGATACAATTAATATGACAAGGAAAACCTCCAGTGGCTCACTTACCTTAAGCAATATCGTTTATGCTAAACTTCTAGCACAAGAAAGGATAAGAAGTAGTTTGGGGTTTTTTCCTGTGGGGGAGGGGCGGGTGGGGTGGGGAAGTAGCAGATTTTACCCTGTATGCTTTAATATTTGAGAATTCTGCTCCTACTCCCTTGAGGCTCCAGGAGACATACATGTGTTCTAGTACAGCTGGACAGATTGGTTTGTTCTGGGACATGATCAAATAGTGGACAGAGGAAATGGTGCAAAATTTATAAGAACGACCTAACCACTAATTCTAAACTAATCGAATTTAACAGAAATCATAGAGTGGTGTACAAAGATATTTCCAATTTCATAGGTATCGTGGTATCACTATTTCCTGTGTGTTATCTTAGTTGATTTCAAATGACTCGTTAGGGAAAGAGAAGAAATGAACCGTGGCTGTTAAGAGCGGTTCACCTAAGCCAAACAGAGAAAAGTGGGGGGCGGGGGGGGCGGGGGCAGGGTCAGGGACAGTGATACTGCCCCAACGCACATAGCCGCCCAGGTGAGGGGTCTAAGACAGCGGTTAATGACCCTAACAAATGTTATTCAGAAAAAGGAGAAACAAAGCACACTCCGTCACATAGGGCCGGGTGCTCTGTGGAGCTGCATCTGACCATACATTAATGTTCTAAGTAAGGCTGGGGGTGTATACAGTAGATACAGTCAGGACACTCACAGCTAAAGAGAAGCATCTCTCAGCTCCGCTTCTCCCCTCTGAACCCAGAGGGATTTGATCTCTAATTCATTGGAGGCGTGCACGGGTAACTACCATCTGAGTACCTACTATGTGCCCGACACTGTGATCCTCTCTCATAGGATGGACTCCAGGAATCACCAGGATTCCTGATGGACGGAAGCACCTTCCGTGCTAGGTGACCCCGCTTTGCTCCTGCCACTCCAGACACCCACACTGCTTCAGACTCCGAGCCACAGCGAGGCTCAGAAGATCAAGGGACCAGTCACAGCAGCCTTTTTAACTTTGGGAAAACCCAATGCTCACTTCACTCAAACGTTGCAAAGTGGTGCCATGACCCTTTAGCTCTTGACTCACCAATTCAAAGAGCCACATCACATACAGTCCTTAAGCTGCCCACGGCATGATTCTGCGTCTAGTGCCTTTCCAGGTCCCCCCAAGCGGAAGACAGTTCTGGCAGGGAGTCTGGGCAAGATTACTATAATATTTAGCCTTTGTCCCTTCTTTTGCTATGTCTTATCATAGAATAAGGCACACAAGTCTGAGAAACTGGGTACTTTGGTGTATGTTGGACTTGAGACCTGTACTCCAAAAGTACCTGCAGGACCTCAGGTCAGTGCAATCTGACCCAAGGAGCTCCATTTCAAAGATGAAGAAACTGAGATTCAAAGAAAGTAAAGCAGGGTCCATTCTTCAGAGAGTAGGGAAGGTGGGGTACACACGTAGTTCAACACCATGCTTCCTGTCTCTGGGATTTTACTGAGCACCTAACTAGCAGGAAATGGACAGAACTGAAGCGAACAGATTTCATTCCCTTAACTATTGGTGTGACTACACAGCCACAACCACACTTCCTATCTGAACGTTAGTTTTCTCGCCTGTAAAATGGAGAGAGTGTGTTGGACTGGTGATTCCTAACGCCTTTCGGGTCGAAACTGTCATAAAGCTTAAGGATATAATTATGTGTGGATGTGGATGAATATATATGCATATAGATGAATACAGATGTATGTGTATATATGTATGTATATGTATATACATGACGTGCCGCAATTAAATACTATTTCCAACCACACATTTTGCCTAATTCCCTCAGAGGCCATGTTTTCAAAATCCCAAACCAAGGCTAGGTACGTCCCATCATTGCAGCCCTTCGGAATCCCGGGTCGTGTGGTCAGTACTCCTCTGGCTTCTCTCCAAACACAAGTGCTGAGTGAGAAGGAAGAGGAGGAGCCGCGTACTTTCATGAAATGTTAAGTGTCATTAAGTTCCCCGGAGGGAACGGCAAGTCTGCGGCAGGGCTGGGCTGGGGGTTGGGGGGGAAGAGAACACACCGCAGGAAGCACAAGTTAAAGGTGACAGGCGGTGGCTGCTCGAACCTGGGGCCGGGCCGGCAACGCACCAACTGCGCAGCGCGTGCCGGGGCTTGGAACAAGCCTGGCTCCGCGCCGACGTCTGACGGTGAGCCCGGAGTGAACTCCCGGGTGAGCCCATCCCGCGTGAGCAACTCGGAAAATGGGCCGTGCGGGGGCGGGCGGCGGGCCCTCGGCTGCTCGGTGGGCCCTCGGCTGCTCGGTCCGAACGCACGTGGCACGACCCGCGCGGGGTGAAAGCGCCCCG